CAACAACAGTGGCGACCAACTTGCTTGTTCGTTAGCACTGTTGGTTCTAATGAAGCCGAGACGCCGGACGGTTCGTTACACAGAACCATCTGAGAAGTGGATTAGATGAACCATCTTTTTGTCACCGTCTGTCACACGCTAACTTCAGTCAGATCAGATCATGGAGGATATGACGTCACAGAGACAGTCAGTGTCAACATCTGTTTGATGGAGAGGCCTCAGTGTCGTTCTCTGCTCTTCCTTCATTAAAGAAACGCTCTCCTGTTCTGATTTACTGAAGCTGCTGCAGCATCAACGCTGCGACTCTGCCGTCACACAGCTAAACCTCAGCTGTAGCTGCCAGTCGCTCCTCACAGGACGTCACTGCTGGTTCAGACACAAACTTGAACCTTGATTAAATGGATTCTCACATGATCTTGTGACATCATGAGAATTCAGCTGCTTTACACTGAGACTTGATGTTGCTGCGCCACTGTGCAGACAAGCGGAGGTGTCTGCTGGGCTCAGTGTTGTTCGGTACAGCTCAGCATCTGCCGTTTAAAGTCCTCCAGAAACAACATGTTTGGAACGTTGTCATGGGCTCCATCACCACTGACTGACTCGACAAGCGTTTGGAGCTGTTTTTGCGTTTTAGTGTGGATGGAGATGTTTTGTAAAGTGAAGGTCATATGAATGGATTGTTTTTTTATATCAGTTTTCAGAAATACCTGTCTACATGTAGACAGAGCCTGAGTCTTTTCAGGGCACACATTTCTCATACAGGGAATAAAATCTGCATATTGAAGTCAAATGATATAAATCATAGTGAAATATAGTTATATAAAAACATGAATTACTAAATTAGAAAACTACTAACCACACGTTCTCTGGGACACCTGCTGCTCTCTGCAGACTCAGCGTCTGCTCCAGTCCTCTGACAGGAGGAGGTCAAACTGGTCCTGAACCTGCTCTTTACATTTCACCTGAAATTATTCACAGTGGTTCACACAAAATCTATCGATTTTAGCTTTTAGACGTGATGGATGTCGTTTCCATGAGAATCTTTTCACGCCCCTAAAAACAGTTTATCAGCAGCCTCAACAATAACATTAACACAACCACATGCACCTGTTCTTCATCTCTCTGTGTCCTCTTCGGTCTGCGCTGTAGACTTTGTACATACGTTATTTTAAAATCTGAGTAATATAAAGTTTGATTTGAAACTTTGAAATATAAAGTTTGATTTGAACGTGTAAAATATCAAAGATGCATTTTGTTGCTGCAGAAATGTTACAAACTGCAGATGAACCATGTGACCTGCATTTCAGTGTTTGTCCGTTCACTTCAATAAACTCAGCAGCAAAAAAAAAATCTCCTCATGATTTTGTTTCATCCAGTGAAATGATCGATTCGAGGTTTGTAATAAAGTTACTGGGTTCATAGAAATAATTGTAATTACTAGTAATAATTTAACATTCGGAGGCTGTTCAGTGTTTCAGCTTTATGCTCATAATTATTTTAAGAGTGACTCAAACTGTGGTACTTCTCTTTTTGTAAGGCATCTTTATTTTGTTAACCTGAAGCCTATTTTCTCGTGTTTCTGTCTGAGTAACCAATGAGTAGTGTAGAGAGAGAGCGCTGCAGCAGGCAGCCAGGAAACGGACTGAAATGTGACATTGAGGGCGTGTTCGCACCGCCTGTTATTGTACATCCACTGATAGATTCTCAGATTGTTATTCTGTGTCTGACAGCATTATAGACAGGATCCTACAGAGATAGAGCTTTATATTAAAGAGTAAGTTCCTTTTTATTTAAGCAGAAACAGCCCTGAAATCTCAATCACCAAATTCACCAGACTCCATTTAAATAAACCTAATTTTATCACTGTAAAACAGACTTCATTCAGAGCTGGTACATGAACCCAAAACAACTTCTGAGTCCCCAGCTTGTTTTCCATCGCTGGCAGACTTGTTTGTCCCTGTGAACGCAACTTCCCTCTTTCCTTCCTTCAACCACCTTCTTGAAAATGTCGGTGTTGCTAATTTGTGCATATTCAAAAACCTGTTTATATTCAAGTCTTTCAGAAAGTTTAAAAGTTACATGAAGTTAAGAGACGTAAGAAATATGGGCTTTTCTTTTGGGCACCTCGACCTGAAACTGTTGGCGAGATGGTTTGTGCACGTCTGCATCACAACATGCAGACCTGACTAAACAGACACACAGCCGTGTGACGCAACTGTTAAAACCCCCAGCTGAGACACATAATCTGCACACACTGTTTACATGTCCAAATACTGATATTAAAACCAGAATAACACCATAGCCCATGTCTTAATCAGAAAAAGGCCTGATTGAGAGTATCTGAACAGAATGAGCTGTTTACATATTCTGAGTGATAGTTGAATATCAGTCACTGTAAACTGCAGTGTGAGAACAAAAACTGACCGCTGGAGCAACAGCAACAACTGGAGGCCTAGAGCTCCTCCTAAAATATGCTGAGAAATGCCAGAGTCTGTTTTAACAACATCTGACCTTCAGCTAATCAGCAGGTTGTTCACCTCCCCCGCCAAGATAAAAGTTCTCTGTAGTTTAAACATCATCTGGTTTCAACAATCAAATAAACAAACTGTGCGTCAGGTTTTCTTAAATTCTTTATTGTTTGTTTTTTACAGGAAGCACCATTGGTCGGTTTGATAAACCACAGACAGTGATCTCAGGTCCAGACAGACGATGACAGAGACTGAAACCTCGACACGTTTTCAGACCTTTTAAGGCTCAAACTGGGACTTGAGTCGCTCTGCAGCCACTTAAGGCACGACGTGTTTATCTCTGTGAATAACTGAACAATGATCAGGTCTGTGTAGCGGCAGCAGCTCGACCTCAGTTTGATCCTTTTAAAGAGAAACTCTGACTCTTAGGGCTCTAGTTTCGCAGACCGGGCGAGGCGGGGGCGCAGCGCACCTGCACTTCGCCAACTGGGTGTGGCCAGGCGGATTTTGCAAGTTTGGCACACCGTGCGCGCTGGCGCAGCTACTCCTCTTTCCCACCTCCGTCCCTCCTACCGGCGCAAGTCGGAAAGAGGGAGGAGAGAAGGCGTGGAGTGGGTTTTACACACAGCACACCAATCAAATGAGCCCCTCTCCTCCCCCTTAAATGCGCCGCGCAAAGGCGTAATGAGAGTTTACTCAATTCGCCATGGCAGAAGAGAGCAGCAGCGTCAGACGGCCAAACTTCTCCCAGGAGGAAACTGATGTTTTGCTCCGGGAGGTCCAAGCTCACAGTGTCCGAATATACGGAACTGCGAGCAGACCTCCACGGGCTGATGATGCAAAGGTAGCCTGGGAGGAGGTCACCACAGTTGTAAATCAATGATGCATTTCTCTCGTGCGCGCGCTCTCTCTTTCTCTCTCGCAGTCTCACTCTGTTTCTTTTCTTTTGACTTTTCTACGATGACAGATGCTGAATATATACTCCCTATCTGATGCTGTGGCTGTTTGTGGTTGGCTGAGAGGGATGTGAACTCATTAGTTTGCAGCTGTGTTAATCAAATCAGGTTGGGTTTCCATTACGCGTGCCAAACGTGCCAAACGGTGCCAATCCCCTTTGATCTGACATCAGATGTGACGGGACAGTCGATATAGAGATACATTTATGTGCTGATTGCAGATAGTTGCATTAAATAGTGGTTTTGTGGCTATTTATTGCATCGTTAATGTGCCTGATATTCTGGAAACCTGCCTGTGAGGTTTTGGTGACGTGTGCGCACTGTCCGCCGGTCAGCCAAACTTTGACTTACACCGGCTGCGCTCCCCCTACGCTGACAGTAGACCTGGTTTCAGATGGCGAGCTTTTAGCGCACCTTCGGCGAAGCCTTTTGGCACGAAACTGTCACTGTACCAAGCTGGATCTGTGGACACCTCCCCCTGCTGCGCCACCACACCCATCTCAGCGCACCTCGGTCTGCCAAACTACCAAACTGAGCGCGCCTCGGGTTAGTTCTGCGCGGGGTTCGCCACCCTGCGCCACCTGCGCTGCGCCGGTAAACTAGAGCCCTTAGTTTCAAAGTTTGGTCCGTCAGCTGACACAGTTTTATTCAGCAGCTTGTTCTCTCTGTTTTTTGGGGGGAATTCTGGGAGTTTCTGTTCTACTGTCTGAAACATGATGCATCACAGGCTCTTTAACGGCTGAGTCAGTTTATAGACAGTAAAACGTGGGAAGATGTAGAAGTTCTGACAGAGTAAACGAGCAGCTTTGGTCCCGAGTCCTGCACTTTGTGTTTCAAGTCCTAAACAAGTCATTATTTGTCTGGTTGGAAGAGAATATTGAGTCAAAGGTCTGAAGTCATGAGTCAAGTCTTTTGATTTTGCCAGATTGAATCTACAGTGAGCCCCAGTCAGCGCCGCCTCAGATCTCAGCTTCATAACTGATGACCAAAACCCTGCAAGCAAGACTCAGATACTTTGCCTCGTGTCTGGAAACTGTGTCATTGCAAAGTGGCTGAGTTACAAAGTTGGTCGTAAAAACTGGAGCTGATCATCATGAAATAACACTTTCATATCTTCTATTATAAAAACTTTAAAATTAACGTCACTAACTTTATGAAAAATTGAAATCCTAAGACTCTATGATAATACGTTTGTACTGAGTGCCTTTAAATTGACTGTGTTCACCTGCAGTTACACTTCCTGTTCGTCTTTGAGCAGCTGCATGTGGGTCAGTCGTTTACGATCCGTGATGTAAAAAGGCGTGTTGTGGAGCTCATTTACATAAACACACTGTAAAGATATACTACGCAGGATTTCCTTTGCAAACACGTAACCTCTCAGTCATCACTTCTGACCCTCTCTCTGTGTGCAGGTGTTTATCTGCAGAGGCTCCGCCCTCTGCCTGTTTATGGGCGTGTACCCCTGCAGCCCTGAGGTGAGGGCGGGGCTTTATAAAACCTTGCGAGGTTCAAGACCGTAAGCAGCACGCAGAGACACAGCGCTGAAAAACGGAAAAACAGGGACGCAAAACAAGAGTGAATCTGTGGTTGGCTTTTATTTTCACTTTGGATGGCGAGCGTGTTCACAAACACTAACTGACAATCCTGCATAGTTTACCTTTAAAGGGACAGTTTGGATTTTTGAAGCAGGGATGTATCAGGCACGTATCAACAGTCAGTTTGGAGAAGAAGGCTGGAGTCTAACATGAGAGATCAGCAACACACTGCTGTGGACAGGGTCAGCAACAAAACTTCGCCAGCTACAAAAATCAGTGTCACTTAAAGAGAACGCTGTACTGAGAGTATTTTATCAGCTTTACCTCGCTGTCAGAAAGTCTGTTCTGACAGGGAAGCTGTTAAAGGCTTCAGTTCCCCATCTATGCTCTCGTCAAGGCCAGACTCCATTTAAAAAAACAGTAATTTAGGCTCGCTGAACACAGGAGCTGCTGGTCGACTGCTGCCTCGATCGGTTAGTTTGTTTGTGTTATTGTGTGACTTTGCTGAACCAGGCAGCAGTCAACGAGCAGCTCCTGTGTTCAGTGAGCTTAAATCAGTGTTTTTCTCAGTGGAGTCTGGCTTTGAAGAGAGCGATGATACAGCCTCATTTTCCTGTTGGGAATCACTGTGTGACATTTAAGTAAAGCCATGAAAATACTCTAAATATAGTGCACACTTGAACTGATACTGATTTTTTTAAAGTGGTTAAAATATGTTTTGTTGCTGACCCCTCCTCATCAGTAGAGTGCAGAGCCTCCATGTTGGACTCAGGCCTGCTTCTTCAAACTGGGGGCGTGCTGACAGCTCCTGTGTGTAATATACTGTCTATGGATAAGTCCTCAGACAGCCCCACTTGCAAAAGATCTGATCTGTCCCTTTAATGTTTGTCATTTCTGTGATTCCTTCAAACATTCATTCTGAGTCTCAACACACTTATATTCATCAGCCTCCACCTGCTTCATAGAACTAGCACCTGATGTGAAGAAAACAAAAGTAACCTGTAGAGACATTTGAACAGTGTCCAGCAGTTCAAGAGTTTTTTATTGCAAGATGTTGAAGGTTTTAAAAAAAGAGCTTTGAGGGATTAAAACATGCATGTTGAAGGAAAAATGACTAAAAGCTGCAGAGCTCTGGAACAGTTGAAACTTTCCCTGAAGGCGTTTTAGCAGAAACTAGTTAGCAGTTTAACGTCCCAGACCCACCGCAGCTGTGAGGAACGGCTTTAAAATAATGCACACTAAGTTTCTGTGGTGTTTTTCCTTGAAGATGCATGTTGTCATGTTCTCTGAAGGTTTCGCTGACACACGTTTGGTGTGCAGCGGTGATTTTGTGTTTTCTGTCCAACTGATGTGGAGCCGACGTCCTCACCGACTCTTCGTCAGACAGAGGTTCTCACACTCCTCCTGTGTCTGGAAGCGGTTTTCGTTTCCGCCGCAGCCGCCGTACCAGAAGCGAGAACACTCCCTCTGCTCGGTGTCAAAGAACCACATCATGGTGTAGTTCTGGCAGCTGCCCTGGTCCTGGCTCAGGAAACAGCTGTCTGTATGAAGAGCGGAGGAGAGAGGTACAGTCAGCATCACTCAGCATTTCTCTGTGACAACGTCCTCTGAGTTTAAAGCACCACACTGAGCGTCATGTCTGTTTCATCAAACTGACGACTCATTTTGTTTGATTTCATTCCTGCTGAGCATTTTCTGAATCATTCATCAGGTTTGGGATTATTGTCTGTCCTTCAGGCAGCCTTTGGTTTCAGTTATTCTCCAAGAAAATCAGCTGCCAGGGACTTAAAGGGATAGTTCGGACTGTTTGATGCGGATGTCTGTTGGCATGGCCCCAATTTGGAGAAGCAGGAAGGAGTACTGATGTGGACGGGAGCAGGAACCAGAGTTCCTTTGTAACCGGACTGAGACCACCTCTTCAAGAAGGTCTCAGTCCGGTTGTTTTGGTGCACACCTGAGTGTGATTGCTGTGTTCACACCTGCCCAAACGGACCGCACTGAGGGGGCAAACGAACTGGAGTTTGAATGAACTGAACCAAACAGGGCAGGTGAGAAATCACCCTAAGATTAAGCAGTGAAAATATTCTAAATATAGTGTACAATTAAACTGAAATTTTTTTTTTAGTTGGCTAAAATACAATTTGTTGCTGACACCGTCCACAGCAGGACATTGCTCTGCTTTATGTCGAACTCCAGCCTGCTTCTCCAAACTGGGGGAACGCTGACTGAAATCCACTGTATCTAATACACTCACTGTGGATACTTGATACAACCCCACTTTAAAAAAATCTAAACTGTCCCTTTAAATTTTACTTTCAGGCACCTAACCGTAAAGAGACTAAATTTTGTGATCTGCATGTTGATTTTCACTGGAGTTCCTTCTTCCAGGAAACTGGTAAACAATTAAATCACAACTGAAAATGCTCATCAGGACACAAACACATTCTTTGTAGTTAATGAGCTCAAACACCAGCGCGGTCCATTAACACAAAACAGTCTTTACCTTTGGAGGCGAAGCTGGCGAGCTCCGGTGTGGGCAGGATGTTTGGATCTGTGAGAGACGACACAGTCAGTCAGCATGGAGCTCCAGGTATTTAACCAACAACACGTCATCACACACTGCAGCATCACTGAGTCTTTATTCTGCTGTCCATGCTTCCTTTACATCGTCACTGACCGAGCTCACACCAGCGTGAATTAAATTAAAGCAGGAAGTGAGCTAGTTACTAATAATGTGAATGTGAACGTGAGCAGAGACTTCATCATGAAAAACCCAACATGGATGTGTTTAAAAAACATTTGAGGATTTACACTGAAATGTCTGTAACTAATGGAGAGAGACAAAACTTGACGAGTAGAGTTACTGTGCTCACTGTAGTAATTAATTACCCTGTAATTTCCCAGTAAATACCTGTGGTTGTATTAACATTAAAAACTTAAAGTGAAAAAATGTTGTTATAGAATCTGTTTCAATCTTCATTTATCTTCCACCATGTAAAGTCATATTGTGATGAAGACAGAGACAGCGAGCAGTACAGACAAAATATTAAAGTTATAAGACGAGATGAAAAAGACGAGACACTGTTAATATCGAACATTCAGCCTGACGTAGAATCAAAGTGTCAGTTAGTTAAAACATTCATATAAGAAGCGTTCACGTGAGGCAGTCCACAGAAACAGTCAGGACTTACTGCGGGCGCCACATGTCCGGAAACATTCATTTTCCGTTTTAAAGCGGTTGGCGTTACCGCCGCAACCGCCATACCAGAAGGGAGAGCATGCACCGATGTCTTTGTCAAAGAACCACTGTTGGACATACTGCGCACACTGGATACCAATATCAGCATCCAGCTGACACTGGGCTGAAAGCAGAACACACACATTTACTACAAACACGAACAACAGTCCTCTGGAGCAGCAGCTCTGTAACCATCAGAAAACCTGCACTCGTCCACTGCGAGCGCACTATGCTTTAATATGATCTTAACTTTGATATTTAATATTAAAATGAACTGACTCTAGTCTGTAAAACATACATGTTAAGACCTGCTGCTCCGAAGAACACATGCAGTCTGATGAGGAATACATGTAGACATATGAATCATTCCAGACAAACAAACACCAAACGGATTTAGTCCGATTACAGTTCGATATAACAAGGAAAGTGTAAAGAAAAGATTTAATACAACACAGCTGATAAATAAAAGAGATGAGATAAAGACAGAAACATACAGCATGCATTCAGAGAACATATCAGTAACAACTAAAAACTGCAGGTTTGAGACAGTTTTCATTCATTTCATTTATTGACCTGCTACTGACAGAAAACTTAACGTTTGTGGCTGTACTGCAAGTTTGGATATTGTGGCGAGTAATGAAGACTCCAGCCTCTAGGGGGCACTAACAGGGCTGAAGACTTCAAGGCCTCTAGTCTCAGGTCTCTGGTAACCAGTCACCAGGCTGATCCATAAGCTCCAGGATTTTCTTCCCTTTTACTGCAAAATATCTCAATACATGTTTATTAATTAAGTGGGTGGGGAGTGTTTATACGTGGCCTTTTATATTTATATTTGTATACAACATTATTCTATAACAATGTTATACTAGACTATATACTAGACCGTCAGACTCATGATGGAAAGTCTGTGTCATAGTGCAGTATTCCTTAACAAGTTTCCTAATAATGTATGCCATTAAAACAAAAGTGAAGTATGCACTTAAAAATTGAAATGTGTCATAAAAGTATTGTAAGTCATAAAAATGCCCAAAATATCCTAGTATAGTATGTTATTGAAATGCCAAAAAAGAAAAAAGTCATTTTATACGAACCATAAAAATGCCAAAAAAAAGTCATTGCATAGTGTCTTAAAAAAAGCTTAAGAAGTTATCGTGTAGTCTGTTAGTTAAAGAAAATGCAAAAATGGTCATAGTATACTTTGTCAAAAAAAAAAGAAAAAAAATGTGAAAAACCTCATAATATAGCATGTGGAAAAAACTGTTAAAAATGTTGTAAAAACTGAAAAGAAAATCATAGAAATAGTATGTCGAAAAATGTCATAGTATAGTATGTTGAAAAAACTGAAAAAAAAAAATCATCATAGTATAGTATGCTGAAAAAAATGAAAAAAAAAAAAAAAATCATAGTATTGTATGTCGAAAAATGTCATAGTACAGTCCCTCCAGAAAAACGCGATTATGCGATCGCATAATTCAATGCATAATCAGCCAAAGTCTGCATATTCATGCGGGGACCGCATTTTTTCAAAGATGCCGTACTTTCGCCGCATAAATCGCCGATTTCCGCGTAAAATGTGCAAAATATGCGGGGCTTGCATGATTTCATAATCTCGCATTTTCGTTGCAAGAGGGGTTTTCCTTGTGAATGCTCTCTGTAAACAAACAACAACTGTTGTGTCTCTCTGAGGCTTGCTGTGCGCGTCACGTGATGAGACAGAGCGCGCACTAGGCAGAGTCAGTGTGATGTTTCTTCTCCTCCTGTGGGGAGGAGGGAAGAAACCTTCCAGTGAAATAACTCTCGATCTAAAAGAGCTGGTTATGATTTTAGGCATGAATGTGGGATTCGGCCTCAGAGTTGCACTGCGGTGCCAAAGAGCGTGTGACAGGTCTCTGTCGCCTGACTCCTTTCAAAAAGCGCTTAACCAGCGGGTGCGCAAAACTGGATCTCTCTCCATAGCCTTCATGACATAATATATATATTTTATTTATTTATTTTTACATAAGTTGTAGCATATTCTAGCTGCAGAACTTGTTTGACTCAGCAATGTTTTGTAAGTTTGAGCAATGTGTTTATTAAGGTCTGAAATAAAACAAGATGAGAACTTAAATATTCCCTGCACTTTCTGTGATGTAGTATGCTTGCTTATCATAGGAAGTAATTAGAAATGACTACATTAAGGTAGTAGCCTAGTGAGAACAGGGTGCTGGGGGAATCACTTTTTTTCCTCTTTTTCATCAAACCGCAGTTTTTGCAAGTTCCCGCAATTTTTGCAAGTTCCCGCAATTTTTACAAGTTCCCGCAATTTCATCGCATGAAATTGCATAAATATCCCGCACATTCCATCGCATAATCAAGGATTTTTGCCCGCAACAATCACAAAAAAACTCCATTTCCATTTTTCTGGAAGGACTGATAGTAAAGTATGTTGAAAAAACTGAAAAAAAATAAATAAATCATAGTATATGTCCAAATAATAAAAAAAAATCATGGTATAGTGTGTTGAAAAATGTCTTAGCATAGCATGTAAAAAAAAAA